TGCCTTATTAAAAGCATTTCTTATTGTGTTCTCGCTGATGCTATCCCAAACAGCAATTTACGCTTGATTGTTGCAATCCTCTTGTCTTTCGCAGTAGCTTTTTTATGTATCCTCTAGTAAATAGGTTGTCTTCAGCTTGGCCTTTAACGGGCCCATCACACCGAAATCCAGCGGCTGACAAACGGAGGTAGAGTTTTGTTTTTTGGCAGTTGTTGCAAATACGAAAAAGCTCGCCAGCAACGATTCCCTTAGATTCGTCCAAAATGTGGCACTCTAGGTTGTCGACGAGAGGTACGGGAGGATTCTCGATGAATGGTAGCATTACGGTACGTAGATACGTAGACCAAACATTACTATCCATCCAAGCTTTGTGTTGAACAGCGTAAGATTGACCTCGATAAAAACAATAAAGTATTAGAACAGTAAGAACTTTATAAAAATAACAAGAGCATTTTACCTTTGGGGTAAGTAGGCACTTCCTCTAATGCAATTGTGTCATCTCGCTCACCTCTGACGATAAATAAATGCGGTAATTGTCTCCCTGGAAACACGACAGCTCTTAGTTCTAGAATAAATACAATATTTATGTATATAACAGTACCGTCTCCTCGAATAGCACATACAACGGTCATACGGGCAGAGTGCTTTTGGGACGTGGTAATATTTGAAGGTGCTCCACGCTCGCACAGAATTCTGGTCGGCGGTGTGTCAAAATAGACACCCGTCTCATCAATGTTGACAATAACCTTTGAAGGCATGTCTCCATATTAGTTTTGAAGACCTCACTAAAAGCTCGCTGAGTTTCGATCAGGTCTTCACGATTTTCCTATTTTATCAAATAAACAGTTTTTAAGTTATATAATAGCTAAGAATAGTAAATAGCATAAATAATTTACCTTTAACCCATGAGGTGTTCGCTGTACAAACCCATGGCGGTAGGCACAGCGACGCAGAAGGTGCAATAAAGAGTCGTATGCTGCTGTCGTGTCTCTCTTATTCGTTGTTTAGTCCGTTAGCCAGTCGAAGTAGTTTTCTCGGATAAATTGGGCTATTTGTGTTGTAGTTAGCGCCTGGTCAGTGCGTCGTAGGTCCTTCATGAAGACAACAAGCGCAGGGGAAAAAGGAATCAACTCCGGGTGACCCGTTGTAGCGCCACCGTCTTCTCTGACCCTTTATAAGCTAATATATTTTCCTTGTCAGCTATCCCGTCGCTGAGCGTTTGACGCGGAATACCGAATTGTTTTGCTGCAGCGCGCACACTCATTCCCTCAGCTGCTTGTAATACTGCTCGTTTAATACGAAACGAGTAGTGTTTCCGTCTTGCTATTCGTGGTGACTCATCGATCTCAGGGCAAGCGAGGGGAGCCTGTGGCCCATCTGGAGGGGTGTCGCTCTCCGCTTCCATGGAGGAATTAAACAGTGAGTAGTGGTGATTTAGCGCATTACTTTTTTGTATTTGATTGGGTAAAAATGATTTGACTGACCAATATTATTGGCTAATTTGACATAGCTGTTGGAATTTGTCCGACTGTTGGATTCGTCCGTCTGTGTAACATATTCATTTAGTGACTTCAGCATGATAAATACCGAACTCAAGCATCTCAAACATCTTTGAGCGTCGACTATTAAGGAAACTGTGCGCATATATCTCGTCCAAGATATGGAGATTATGCAAGTATCTTTATTTTTCTATTGCCAATAACATGATCAAGTTGTGTGGTCAACCGTTGTGGTTGATATGCACTTTTCATCACTTGCAAGTCCCGCATAAAGAATCGACGGCATTGGAGTTAGGATAGCGAGAATCAAGTCGCTTTCTATTAGCAATAAGTCGGCAGATGGCGTTTAGGCTTGATGTGACAAGGTCAACGTGGAGAGGTGAGCGAGAAAATTATGTTCAGTTATGTTTGCTAGATAATTATTTTGAAGATTAATTATTATTCTTTAAGCTGTCGCTTAGCGTATTGAGGATAAGTTGGGCTTGAGTGCGCTGTATTTTAAGTACACATACTGCTTGCTCGTGGCTAGCTTGCTTTTCTTGTGCGATTGCAAATATGCGATCGATTATGGGCTTCCGATGAAAGTAGTATCTTTTTTTAGCCGCTGTATTTCGCCAATTGGAGGCGTAGTTTTCCTCTAGCTCCCGCACGGATGGGCCACCGTGTATACCGACAGACCATTCCTGCCAGACTTGGTGCAGGGTCTTTAATGACCGGACCATCTTGAATGTTGTAGGAAGGGTTACATGGCTAGCAAGTACTGGTGTGTGCGGAGCGAATGTCGATGCGCTGGTGTCACTCCAGTTGAAAGATAAGCGGACCAAATTCCCACCCGAAGTAAGTTGCTGGAATTCTCCTGTTAAATTATGAACAGTCGATCTAACCTCGCCCATCTTTTCATCGATGTGCATCAATGTTTGTTGTTGCTGTTGTTTATGGTGATCAATCAAATCAGGAATAACCTCGTTTAATTGCAATGCTTGGGGTGATTTTTCCGTAACAATCTTTGCTTTCGGCTCAGCGGCGAATGAAATGAATGACTCGGAGCAAAAGAATGGGTGCTCCCATAGCTTGTGCGTGGGATGCGCGTCTCGCAGGAGCACTGCGTCTTGAAGAACCACAACTCGAAGGTAAATCAATAAATCTAAGATTCCCCCAGTTGCTACGTGGGGTGCTGACTGTTTTGCTTATGCTTCCAAATAGCAATGGGGAACACCAGGAACACCTCGCGTTGCAAGATGTGCGGCGGATCTAGAACGGCCCGCTCAAGTAAAAGGATCGCCTATCCGGAGAAAACCCAGCAAGTGAGCACATGGCATCCCGCTGTAGAGCAGAAAGGTAGCATCCCTCCATGGCAACAGCATTCCATCTACCTAATCGCCTAATTTGTACCATGTAATTCGGTCATTCTCGACCCGGAAACTCGCGTGGCGTGTGTCTTCGCCTTCGAGTGCATTTCAAGAGCAGTGAATGCTTTCACAGTTGCGCCATAATGGGCTCTGTATGATAATGGCGTTTTCGAATCTTTTCCGGACTTAAGTACTTTAATGTCATACCAATGGTTAGGCTCCAAGAAATTAGGGATGGCTTCATTTTGGATACTCCATCTGAAGAAAAATACAAACCCAGAGCACCAACAGGACAAACCCCCACGTTGCGATGTCGAATGCAAGATCCGAACTCTCTCTGACCGTATATGTTAGTCTTGCCCTGCTCCATAATCATAACGAGAGCACGACATGTCGTGTACCCCTCATGTTTCAGGACCATGCTAAACAGGTCAGGTAATTCGAGGTTGCGTGCCGATTCTCCTCTTAATAAACATGCGTGACATAAGAAGTGGCTCATGAGATTTCGTAAATCGTATCCAGTGTTGAGATTCATGTAATACCGAGAGATTGAAACTAAATCATCTGTGGTGTAGTATCCATCCAGAAGGGACCCGGCACTTCGATCAATGTATTCACGCTTGTTTTTTCGTGCTTTTCTCGTTTTAAAGTAGACAATAAAGCCTTGGTAGGGCTGTTCCGAGGGTGCGGGTACCTCGACTTTGCTGAACTACTTCTTCCGGTAGAAATAGGTGCATTTTTTGCTGCTGTTACTTGATAACGTGTTGATTCGTGGAACCCCTTTCGGTCACACCAAGCCTTAAACTCATGCTGCTTTGGTCCGTAGACTCCGGTAGTGTTTGCAGGGCGCGCCTCTTGAGAGCGGTATAGTGTCGCATGGGCACTCTCTTATAGCTCCACTTGGAGACTCGGTGGTTCCATTGCGTCTTTGTATCCGAAATTGAGCTTTGACTATTTTTTGCTATTAGAGATGCTCTATCAGCAGGGAGGGACGCCGTCGCCCTTCTATAGTGCAGTTAAATACAGCGACACCTAAACCCAGGAAGATAAACCTTAATTACAATATGTTTTCTATTGGCTAAATCTCTAATTTGTTGCGGGGACCATGTCTTTTTACAAATTTAAGTATATCTGGCAAAAATGAAACACTATGCCGACATCTTATAACGCTTGGCTATAGACGTGGAAGACGTCGATTAATCAATGACCACCACCAAAGTGCGTAGTAAGTGTAGAGGATACCGATTTTCACTGAAAATACATGAAATTCATTAACCCTTTCGTGACCAATGGGGGCATTTTGCCTCCTTTTGGGGGTATGTCCTCGAGTACCACTCGTGTCGCTCATGAAAAAGGGAATTATGTGTGGGGACGAGGCAGAATCGCCCTTTTCTACTTGAATTACAAGGATTTGCAGAAGATTTGCTGTAGTACCGTAGGTTACGAAAGGGGGCAAAATGCCCCCTTTGACGGCCTAATGACTTGGCCTTCTATGGTATAATATAGCCAGGTCGAAAGTGTCCGTTCACGAAAGGGTTAATAGTTTTAGTTTTTGTTTTCTTGATAGCGACAGTGGCCGTACAACTTTTCCCCAACTTCTTCTGATTGTCGAGTACAAAAGTACATCGCTACGTTGAAAACTGCAAGTGGGTTTTCGCGTAATGCCATATTGGCGTGATGTTGAATCCAGCGTTTTAGCAGAGAAAAACCGAGTTCAATTGGATTCTTGTTATGCGAATATGGCGGCACGAAAACAGAAGGTTACCAGTACCTGAAATTCTTGGTACATGTAAATTTTGGCGTCGTCCAAAATGACAATAGATCTTGGTAGAGGCCAAGGGTTTAGAATGACAGGATTTTCAACTTGACGGTTTCGTGCCACGTCTGCCTAGTGAAAGTGCCCTCCGTTGTCCCCCAGGCGAAAAAGCCTTCGACGCCGAACGCGGCCAGGGCGGAGATTCGCATTTTTTTAGAAGAGGGAATCGACACCAGTGTAGTGGCTCGTGGGAACCACGCGTGGTTTTGCAGGGTAGACCTAAAACTTAGCAAACAAATTGAAAATAATTTTTATAGTACGGCCGCAACAGTCCCATCTTTTGAATTTCGTCGACGAACACGAGTTGATCAGGCCAATTGTAGAATGCCATTCAACGAAAACACGCATAAGACAACATTAACTCTTCGAGTAAATGGTAATCCAGCGTTAATTCGACGATTACGGTAGGTAAATCACTGTTGGATTATTTTTCAAAATTTGCTAAAACAACGAGGTAGGACAAGGCACAATAACATCCCGCTGAAGTGAGAAAGACCTTAACAATTGCGACCAAACATATATTACCACCGCATAGCTCGGGTAGTAAATAGTAGATTAACATAAGCATTCCTGTGAGTACAGTAAGCAGGGGCAAGTACAAAGTTCCACCCGCGTTTCATTAAACCACAAAATTTGTGTATCTTACTCGCAGCTTTGTGGCACATTCATGCTTCGTTTAACTTTTATGACCATTCCCTGCGTTGACCCATTACCCCCATAACCTTTAATCTCATATTTTCGCCGCCACACAGTACTGCGTGTTGATTCGGATGAGCAACCACAGCAGTAATAATGCTGTCCATAGGGATTCGGAACCGATCGAGTCGCTCGACCACTGGTAGTCCAGGTTTGTCGGGTTTTGCTGTGTCCACCTCGTTAGCATCGTCTTTCTTGGTGGGTTTGGAAACCTCCATACGCCGTAATTGATGTAAATCGATCACGTTCAAACTCGTAACATCGTGGATCCCCGTGCACATGATAGAATCGTCAAACAACAAGGTGCCCGCGCAACGGTGGCAAGAAAGCCACGAGTTACGGAGCGACCGAGGCAAGAAGTCCCGTTGGTACTCGCTTTCTGAAGCCATTGAGAGAACAGACGGAGACGGATCTGCCTTCGCTTTTTCTCTTGGCGTTAATCCTGTCCACATAGAGCACCCAAATAAACTCGTGAGTACTATAGTGCAAGGCCAATTCACCTTTCACTCATCGTACGTACCTCGAATGAACGTGTGCAGCTTCACAACAGAGCCATAGAGGTAGTCGATGACCACTACCCAATCGTTACGCAACTGGCACAGCACTTGTGTTTCCGACTGTGGCATCAGGCGCATCGACATAATGCCAGGAGATCCATATCGGCTGGAGAGGAGCACAGACTCAATCAATACAGGCGACAAGTATGCTGTTTCGGGGCACAAGAACGTACAGAAAAAGATTAGTTCGTCCTTGATCGATAAAAAGCTGCCAATATACGGTACGTCACTCACGTTTGATCACCTCCATTACGTTAAATGATGCCTTTCGCTGAGGTACAGGCTTGGATCCAAACGCTGGAACAACTTTGTGCTGAATATCGTAGGTCTGTAAGAAAAAAAATCAGCTTCAAAACAATAGGAAATGTAAGCGAAGGCACGTTGACGATGGCTTACCATGAGGATTCCAGCTTCGTTGCCGCAGATGAGAAACTGCTTGTTTGGAGACAACAGCAATGCGTTAATCGGCACCGACCCTGCAAGAAAGCTCCACACTGGTCGCAATGGGAAGCGCGTGTCCCACATACGAATAGCTCCATCCATATCGCCTGCAATGATGTTCACCGCGTTTGATGTCGACTTCGCCTTCAGTTGTCGTGAAATTGGCACTGTTGACTGCGCTGCAGGTAGATACAACAGATCATTGTATCCGCTGGAAGGTTGATTGGAGCTCTTCAACACTTTGTGGGGTTTACTCGGGAATTTGCGTAAATCGAACACGTAGATTTCATTGCGATTCGTAAACGAGCACGCAATCTCGTCCTAAATTGTTAGGGCATATCACGTAATGCTCAGTATAGCTCCAATTTGCTTTTTTTTTTTTTAAGAAAAAGCTCACCTCATTCAGCGGATTCCAGCGGATACGCTTGACTTCAAACGGAGTAAATATCGTGTGGATCTTCACGCCACCGTCAGAAAGAAAAATATAGCAATAAAAAGTAAGAAACATACCGGATGCAGAACCTCATCCTTCATCTTCTGTTCTTCTTCATCCTCTGTCTCCTTCACGCGTTTGTTGTGCATTTTCTGTCCGAGATTCAAACTGCGGTGAAAGACGTCGTCGAAGTCGTAGAGTGCGATGATCCCATTGGACGCTCCTGCCGCCAACAGAACCCCTTGGGCGTCGAACTCGAGGCAACTAGTGTAGAAGGACTCGATGCTCATTGCGCCCGCCTGTCGCTCCCAATGTGGGGCCAGCTGCAGCTCAATCGGCAGCCGCTGGAAGTTAGTGAGCGCCCAACGCACTATTTGCTGCTTGCGTCTCCGACTCCGTCGCAGTCCCTGTCCTCCTCCACCGATGGCCTGACGCGTTGATCCGCAGCCCACAAGCTCACGGCGCTGCAGGATCGCTGTCAGATCCTCGCGGGCTTCTCGACGCGCGGTTGCATTGGGTTTAACGATTTGTGCCTCCGACTCGTCTTGGTCTGAGGCATCTTCTATTGGGTCTTCAGCATCGTTGAGCTGCAGAACGGTGGAAGTGGAGGCAGAGGTGGTGACGTCGTCATTGTTGTTGTCGCTGTCGACGGACTCGATGCTGATACGGCGCACCTGCTTGCGCTGGAAGAAGGCGGTGATCGGCGCCTGCCCGCGCTTCATAGGACAGGACAAGCTAAATTTTGAACTGAAGTTGGAGTTGCCGCCAA